GACATAATTACGCTTAAGGGTGCGAGTGGAGGGAGTATATAACTATGTGAAAGTAACACTTTTTCCATCCATTTCAAAATATAAATGCTTATATATGAAAAGACAATCTTTGGCAAAGATTGGCTTTTAAAAATAATTACTTCTCGAGGCTAATATATCATATGCACTACTCTCACTACTCTAGCATCACCTTTATCTGGGTTTATTAATCTCATCATATATTTTTTGCGGGGGAATCTCATCATATTTTCGATCAAAGTCTGACCATATATTTGACTAGCAAAATGTTAAAGCATTGTCACAATTTTTCTTATTAGATTTGTAGTATTTGAATGTAGTTTATAATGATTTGCTATGTATAACTTATATTTTATTAATTAAAATATGGTCTAAAATATAAGTGCATTGTAAACCAGGACGGAAGTACTCCCTCTGTCCGAGTTTATTAGGCCTTACAACATCACAAGCATGTCCCTTTTTATAAAGCCTCGCTTTCAAAGCGAGGCTTTATAAAAAGGGACATGCATGCAATCACTTCATTGGTTGCATTGAAAGTCATTGTTATTGGTGCCATGGCCAGAGAATTACTACCTTCGTCCTGGTTTATTGGCCCCCATTGCAATCTATGTCAAACTTTGACCATAAATTTAACTAACAAAATATTCATGCATGTCACCAAAATTATATCATTAAAAACTACATTTAAATACGAATCCAAAGATATAATATTTGTTGACATTCACTAACATTTTCGATCAAAGTCTGACCTATATTTGACTAGCAAAATGTTAACCCATGTCAATTTTTTTTATATTGGTAGTATTCAAATGCAACAGTTTATAATGATTTGCTATGTATAATTTAGATTTTACTCTCTCCGTCCCATAATATAAAAATGTTTTTAATATTAATATAATAGCTAAAATGTTCTTATATTATGAGACAGAGGGAGTATTAATTAAAATATGATCTAAAATGTAAGCGGACTGTAAACCAGGACGGAGGTAGCAGGAACGAGTGAGTGAGTAACGGGAGTTTGGAAAAGAAAAGGCGAGATTCTGAAATAAAAATCTCTACTCCTAATGGACGAATTGGTTAAATAGTCCCCCCCACTTTCAACCGGTTTATTTTCAACCGGTTTATTTTCAACCGGTTTTTCTTCGTCCCACCTCCCACCAGCCCCTCCCACCGGTTTTTCTCTTTTCTCGTCTGACCGGCAATACCCAACGTATCTCTACTCCTAATGGACGAATTGGTTGAATAGTCCCCCCCACTTTCAACCGGTTTATTTTCAACCGGTTTTTCTTTGTCCCACCTCCCACCAGCCCCTCCCACCGGTTTTTCTCTTTTCTCGTCTGACCGGCAATACCCAACGTATTTATGGTAATCAATCATAATTAATCCACATATATTAATTATCAATCCAGGTATGGTAAGGTCATAACTCAGGAAATTTTGAATATGGCAATTATATGGTAATAAATTTAAATTACCCCAAAGGCTATCAATCCAGATATGGTAAGGCCATAACTCGGGAAATATCGAATATGGTAATAAATTTAAATTACCACCAGGTATGGTAAGGCTATCCACATATAGTAATAAATCATATAGTAATAAATCATAATTAATCCACGTATAGTAATAAATCAATCCAGGTATGGTAAGGTCATAACTCAGGAAATTTTGAATATGGTAATAAATTTAAATTACCCCAAAGGCTATCAATCCAGGTATGGTAAGGCCAAAAATCAGGAAATATCGAATATGGTAATAAATTTAAATTACCCCAAAGGCTACCAATCCAGATATGGTAAGGCCATAACTCGAGAAATATCGAATATGGTAATAAATTTAAATTACCACTAGGTATGGTAAGGCTATCCACGTATAGTAATAAATCATAATTAATCCACGTATAGTAATAAATCAATCCAGGTATGGTAAGGCCATAACTCAGGAAATATCGAATATGGTAATAAATCAGCGATCGTCCGCATTACTAGCTCATCCGATAAATCAGCGATCGAGTAATTAAACCGTGCAGTAATTAGTACTCCCTCCGTATATGGAAGGAACCACCGGAGTATTCCATAGATTAGCCACAGGATTTTGGCAATCTCGCTGTGGCATCTCGGATTTTGGAAATCACGCGCCCGCAGACGCCGCCGTGCCCCCCCTGCAACCACCACCGGAGTCGGAGGCGAACGCGATCGCAATCGCGACGTGTATATATATACAAGGACGTACTACGTGCACAAGGGCCTGCAAGCAAACCCCAGTGCTCCTGATCACCATGCATTTCTTCCAGGTCGTCATGGCGTGGATGTTCCCGTGCGCCGTGTGGGCGGCGATGGCGCCGGCCGTGGCGACGGCAGCGACCACGGACGGTGCTTCGAGCGTTGAGCAGGGCAGCTCCTCGTCGCCGGCGTTCGGCCCTGGCGACGCTAAGGTGGCCTCCGACCCGGGCTCCTCCCGGCGTCGAGGTCGTCCACCTCCTCCTCCTTGCTCGGCGCCCGAAGCAACTCGTCGAACAGCGCGCGCTCACCGGTGAGGGAGGGCGGTGACACGGCCGCACGGAAGGGCCACGCGCTAAGGCGGTGCCTGCACAGGTTCGCCAGAAATCTGCAGCGCGCCGGTGCTGCGGACGAGCGGTCAGACGGGCGCGGGAGACGGAAGGGCCGGGCGACGAAGCCGGACGGGAGGGTCGCCGCCGGCGAGGACGGCACCGCCCGGGCGAGGGAGGAGGCCGTCGCGAGCGCGATCGCCTACTGCAAGGAGTCGAGCCGGCAGCGCTGCAGGCCGCCGTTGGCTCCCTCGCCAAGCTTGGACGGCTGGCTCCTCGTTCGTCCGGAGAAGGAGATCGGCACCAGCGCCACGAGCGCCGTCTTGCCCTGCGAATGCGAGGCGCAGGGCACCTCGAGCGCCGCCGCCCGCCACCACGGCCACGCGGCCTGCGACGGTACGTGTTGTCAACCGATCCGTCGGTCGATTTGCTCTGCTGCACCCGTGCACGTCTAAACCGTCGTTGATCTCCTTCGTGCAGCAGAATGCGGCGGCGGCAGGCCGTCGACGGTGGAAACTCGGCGAGGTCCAGTCGGGGAGATGGAAAAGGGTGACGCTGTCGACGGGCTTGACGGGGACGTCCTTAGGATAACGAGTTACTTCGCCGCCAAATATGTGCGCGCGGTGCGCCATTGAAGAATAGCTCGGGGTCCGTCTCACATGAGGCGAAGCAAACAGTTTTTCGTAATCTAGAGGACCTTGTCTTACGTACCTTCGATCTTGTATGATCTGTCCATATCAGTATGCGAGTAGTAATAATATGATTGTAGTAAGATCTGTCCATATCAATTGTCGATCTTATTCTTATATGATATGATGGCTTGCAGCGTTCCTAAGATCTAACGAGAATCTCCTGGAGTTAACGACACAATCGTTCGATTGTTTCTGAATCAGACTGCAATTTTAAAGCTTAATTGGCAAAGGAGTTAAGATATAGACAATCCTATTTATTCGAACTAGCTTTGCTGAATCGAAAGAAAAGAGACAACTTGGATTCAATCAAAAGAAATTAGAAGATTTTAGTACTGGCATGTATTCACCTCAATCACTATATGCTCTGTTTGTACTCTACACATGAGGAATATATTCACCTTTAATTTCTTTTTTTGCGGAAATAAGACTTTCATTCATCAACCACGGTCATTACACTCCAGATTTTACATAGAGCGTGAATTCCATCCGGTGCATGCCCATGCACGTTGAATTATCAAATGAGTATAAAGTTGGTCTTTTTTTTAACTACTACACTCCAGATTCTCGAGCATGGAGATGGGCGAGTTGTAGACCAAGAGCTGGTACAGATATAGGCGAGTTGTAGACAAGAGCTGGTGGGCAGCAAGAAACGCATGCACACCAAAGAACAAATCTGAGTCACATGCCTACTTCTATTGGTTTCTACAAAGAGCGGCTAGCTTATATCTTAGACCAGTCGGTCACTGTCGAGGTCGCCAAGGTGATCTTACAGCACCGCCGTGGGGATTTCTCATATGATTTTATGTAGGCAAGCCGCAAGCGGTGGTGGTGATTGGCTGGGTGGTGTCGCTGCCTTGGGAAGAGACGAAGTGATGGTAAAAGTAAGCAGGATCCGATGATTCTTCCGTGGGGATAGCCAAAGTCAAGATGTCGACTACAGACTCGTCGCAGACTTACAGTGAACCTGGATGCGGCGAGCCTGATTTGTGGATCGATGGCGGGTCTTGACTTTGTTAGGCTGGGATTGGATGGTTGCGGAGGGTGGTGTGCTTGGTTGGGTTCCCATGGAAGAATGTGGCCTCCTCGTGGATCTGGTCATGCCCATCCTAGAGAACATTGTGTCCCTAGCTCCCTCGAGGAGCAAGGACAGTGCAAGCGGCAGCAGGGGGTAGGGGTAGATGTGGGGAGGGATGTCGGCGGCTGCTCGAGGTCATCATGATGAAACCCTTGATGTCCCATCTTTATCAATGGAAGTGGAAGAGCACGAAGTCGAGATTGGATAGGAGTTTGAGTTCTTTTTGGCACCGATCGGTTCCCCACTTTAGAGATGTATTTTTTTTGCGTGCGAGCAAACAGTGGGTTGATTCTAAAAGGGATAGGCACTTTTCAACAGAAGTGCATGACGGACCAAAAATATGACCTCATTTTATTCGTTTGATAGATATCGTATTATTCGTTGTTGTTTGTTCGGTGAAATTTCCTAATATTTGATTGTTGTGTTTCTAATTAGAGCATCTCATAATCACCCAATATGAGGGGATGATAAATGAAAAATATTGATTATAAATTTTGAAGAGCCCGTGGCAACGCAGGGGCGTTATAATAGTAACTGGTAATAACGGAGCTGGATCGCTCGCTGACAGGTGGCTCCCCGCGGCCGCACCTTATCCTCCCGGCGTCTTAAACCCCTCGACGGGACGACCGACCGACCGCCGTGCCGTCCTTCCAAACCCCGCAAGAAAATGGCGACCACCGCCACCTTCCTACACCTCCTCGCCCCTCCGGGCCTCCGCCCCAAGCCCGTACTTCGGTCCCGCCTCCGCCGCCTCGCCCTGTCCGTCTCCCCCTCGGGCCCTGACGAGATCCCCGCCGACGACCCGCCCGTGCTCCCCTCCATCCTCGTCAAGAACACCGAGCCCGAGGACGTCGCGCGCCGCCGGAGCTGGGTCGAGCACGGGTGGGCGCCCTGGGAGGAGGCGATGAGCCCCGAGGTCGCCTTCGCGCGCCACAGCCTGAACGAGGGCGAGGAGGTGCCGCTCACCTCGCCGGAGTCCGTCGAGGCGTTCCGCATGCTCACCCCGGCGTACCGCGAGAAGGTGGAGTCCGAGCCGGGATACCTCGAGCGCCTCTTCTCCATGCGCGAGATGCCTGAGCCCCTCGAGACCTCGTGGGCCGGCCGGCTGCCGCTGCGGCTCGTCCCGCCGCGGGACTGGCCGCCGCCCGGCTGGGAGGTGGACCAGGACGAGCTGGCCTTCATAAGGGAGGCTCACAGGGCGGCGTCGGAGCGGGTGGACATGGAGGCGGCCGCCGCCAAGGGGGTGACCAACGTGGAGAAGGTGGAGGACGCGCCGCAGGATCTGGCGCTGGAGCGGTACAAGGTGTTCCTGAAGCAGTACAAGGAGTGGGTGGATACGAACAGGGACAGGCTGGAGGAGGAGTCCTACAAGGTAATGTATATCACTATAACTCGATCAATTATCTGTGTCCAGTACTCTGCAAATCCGCAATGGCCATTATGATTCTATGAGAAAATAGTTCGTCATTGCAGCTCACAGCAGAACATTGTAAATTTGTTCTGGTATGATGCAATTGAAGTTGGCTTTTAAAATTAGTGGCCTGCTTGTAGTTAAATGATTGTTGTGGCTGCAAATCTGCAGCCCACATACAGGGGAGCTTCATCAGCCACATATTTGTCATGAGATGTGTTGATCACTGCTCCCCAGTATGTTATCACCCTTGATAATTTCGAAAGGAAGTACCTTCTCGTGATTAGTTCAAAAAGGAGATGTAGTATTATTTCAATGGTTATTAGTTAGTTCAAGAGGACCCTTGTAGAATGATTATAGTGATGCATTGTGATAGTTGTTCCATGATATATTTCCTTGTTGAAGTAGACTGTATAAATGCTCAAATGCAGTAGCACGGTATCATGTTAGTGTACACTATTCAGTAGCCTGTCATGTGTCTGTTTAGTTGCACATTGGTTGTGAACAATGTTGTTCTGCAATCCGCGTACACCTTTGTTTCAACTTTCAACTCTTGTGATTGGTGTTGGCTGGCGGTGCCTTGTTATTTATTTTTAGATAAACTCAAGATATCTGTTTTGCATTTGCCCTGGACTGCAAAATAAGTGTTAACTTCATACTTTCCCCAGTAACTGAACTTTGGAGCCAGTAGCCTAACTTGTTATTTGTCGGGTTATGGACGTTACTATTGTGGACCTAGCACTATGATTTCCTATAAGCTATACAGCTAATAATGATTGTATTTTGCCACTATTACTATCCAGGCCAGCGATGGTTGCATTTCACTTAAGAAACACAGCCTTTTAATGATAGCCCTGCAAGCTAGTCAACTACTTTTGGTTCCTTCAATTGTTCTGGTTTCTTCATATACTTGGATTATCACAATGATTTTGAGTCTGGCTTGTCATCTCCTCAAGTGTTTGTAGCCATTCTCATCATTTCAGGACTGAGCAGTAATATTCTACTTGGCTATTTTTGTTATGCAGTTTGATCAGGATTACTACCCTGGTAGACGAAAAAGAGGTAAGGACTACCGAGAAGATATGGTATGTCCATTTGCTCTTGAATTTGCTGCCTATTTTAGTTCTATTTTTCCTGGTCCTGTTAATTGCTGATTTGTTGATTGCTTTTGTGCAGCTGGAACTTCCATTCTTCTACCCTGGACAGGTTCCACTTAAACTTTTGATTGTACCTTCCCTCTTCAGTAACTTGCTGACTGTTACCATTTTAACCTTTGGTAAATGGTTCAATCTACCACATGCAGATATGTTACGGTAAAGTGATCTCTATTCACCTCCATCAAGGAGCTTTTGTGGACATTGGTGGCACACATGATGGGTATGTACTCCTTTAAATCTTCTGCGCAATTGTGGAGTTACCATGGCTGATATAAGATGATGTGTTATGATATTTTAGTAGCATTTTGTTGTTGTCTTGCTTTTAAATGTGACCTGTTAGCTACGGTGAATAATACTACATGGAAATATTAAGGGCATCTGCATGTTGGCACGAAACTGCATCACAATATTCTACCAATAGCATTATGTTGAATGATGATTAATGAATGGCACTCAGGCCTACCTTTGCCTTCTTAGAATATTCTACTGTTCTTACATAACTTGTTATAGTAAAGAAAATATTTAATTTGTGTGGTTGCATCTCTTTATATGTTTAGGTGGGTGCCAATAAAAGGAAACGATTGGTATTGGATCCGCCACCATATCAAACCTGGCATGAATGTCTATGTGGAAATTCTGGTTAGTTATCCTTGAAGTTCATTTTCCAATTTCTGTTGCTGCTTCTGAAGATATCTAATGGTAAACAATATGTAGTGGAGGAATGCCTGGTTATCCACATTGCATTATGATATGTTAGTGGTGCTTTGGCATTACCAAAGTACAATTGGACCTGGAGTAATTGAACCCGAGCTCGCATGCTCTCTGATGAACAGTAACATCCGAAAAAATAGTAAACAAAATAAAAAAAATCTGATTTTTTTTCGATACTGATAAACATTGATGAATGTTTTTACCGCCTGCAAATTTTTGTGATGAAATGACATTCATGTGGGTCTGGGCCAAAAAAAATAATAATTAAAATCGATGCTCTGAAAAGACTATTGTTGGAAGCATTGATTTTTTTTTGTCCAGACCTCCACGAATGTTATTTCATCACGATATTTTGCAGGATGTTAAAACTTTCATCAATGTTTATCACAAAAAAATCCAGTTTTTTTTTATGATTTTACTGTTCATCAGAGAGCATGTGAGCTCGGGATCAAATGAGCACTTTCGAGTACAATTTTGTTACTCCCTCTGATCCATATTACTTGTCACAACTTCAGTACAACTTTATACTAAGCTGCGACAAGTAATGTGGATTGGGAGTAGTTTTTTTATAAGATATTTTTATTTCTTTGCAACCTGGATCCTGGAATTTCAGTAACTTTCGTAGATATGCCTTACTAGTGAATTATAACTATCTATTGTTTTGCAGGCCAAACGAGATCCATACCGGTTTCGTTTCCCACTTGAAATGCGCCTTGTCTATCCTAACATTGATCACCTAATGTGAGTGCCGTCACTAACTCACTATCCTTATCCTCGGTCACTCTGACGAGTCCTGATTGTGTGACGGCTTTAATGTCCGTTGTGTTATGCATTGCTTCGATTTACCTTCAGTCTCGGTTGACTCAGGGTTGTCTATCTGCTTCCTTGCTGCAGATTTAATAGGTTTGACTTCCCACCAATATTTCACCGAAAGGAGGATACAAACGAAGAGCAGCTGTGGGTACGACTTTTCAATTGATTTAACATTTGCTCTCCTGATTCTGTTTTCTGCTACTTCGTTAAATCTAGTAATTCCCTCAAGGATTTTCACATTATTTTTGTTCTTGCTTCATCAGTGTTATGTGCTTGTGTGTGCTTCTTACCTTTATATGCACTGACAGCGCGAAGGTGGAAGGCCGCCCATTCCTAGGAAAAAGCCTTTGACAGACATGGAAACAGAACCTTTGGTGTCAGACCACCCCTTTGTTGAAACGGTAGACACATATCTACCTCTAACATGCTTGTGTCTCTTGCTCCCTCCTAGTGTTTACATTTGGTTCCCATTCGATAGGTTTAGCAGGAATGTTTTTTATCTGCTTGCAGCTTTGGGAATGGCATAATGCAGAGCAGATGATTTTAGACCACGAGGATGAAAATCCAGATAAATTCAAGGATGTGACGTACGAGTCAACAGTTGATACATCCTCATTCGACGAAGAAAACAGGATTCAATACACTGAAGGACGTGTCAAAGAAACAGTGCTTAAAAAGAAAGTTGTGGTACGCATTTGTGTGCCATGATTACGTTGATCATCATTGGGTGTTTATTTCACAGTACAGCGATCCCTTAATGATACGCCCATTGTGGTTCTGAACTTTTTCTGTTGTAGAATGTAAACATCAAAGAACTTGATATGAAGGCTGCTCGTGCTGAGCGTGAGGTACCGTATCTTCCATCATTAGGTGGATTTTGTTTAGCCACTCTGCCATTCCTTTACTGATGCTGAAATTTAACTGACGCAGGAGATTAAAAGGCTCAAAGCGGAAGCACAAGAAAGAGGAGAGGAGTACAAAATCGGGAAGATGCGACGGAACAAAGAAATGGACGAGTACGATCTGCTGCAGTGGCGTCGCTCTTACGAAGAAAGGGAAGCTCTCCTCAGAGACATATGCTGGTAACCTGCAACTGAACAACAAGTTTCATCACATCCAACACACACGCTCTCATCATTAACATCTATATAAACCGGCAGCCGGAAGGCCCTGGGCCTCCCCATTGAGGAGCCGGGGCGGTACGACGTGGACGAGACCATTGTGTACGGGAAGGACTACTACGACCCGTCGAAGCCGATGTACCGGTACGACTACTGGGGCGAGCCACGCAACACGGAGAAGGTGAAGCTGGAGCGGGACGTGGAGCGGCACAACCAGCAGATCATCGGGGACGCGAAGAAGTGGTGCGAGACGTCATACGAGGACTACGTCCGGAAGAAGACGCTGCGGGAGGCCGCCGAGGCCCGGGAGCGGCGGCGGAGGGCGTCGGAGCCGCAGGAGGAGGAGGAGGAGTACGACGACGACATGGACCTCGACTTCGAGAAGATGACCGACCCCCGCGCCCCGCACAACCGGTTCTACATCACGAAATGAAGATGGCGTGGTGTAGAGATTTTAGGTGTAGCTGTTGTTCTGTTGTGTGCGAGGGATGTGAATATTTGGCACTCAATTGTGCGGTTGTGCGTGCCTATGGTTACTTTTTTTTAGAATAGCCTATGATGACTTTCTGATCAAATGCAAAGGAGAATTTAGGAAGAGACAGTTCCAGGTCAAAGCAGGTGAACCTGACCTTGTTTAGAATGGATGATGGATCAGACCCTGCCTCTACTCTAGTAGTAGTATAAGAAATTGTTGGTTGGTTGGTTTTGTAGATGTGGAGTACTAGTCATAAGCATAGAGAGAGCGATCTGGTGTTGTCTTTGTTGACCAGGCTGCATTTTGAGCCCCTTTTCTGCTCAACCAGACGGATTTGGTACGTTTATTATTATTATTATTATTAATTAACGAGACGGCCGCGACAAGCTGTTTGTTGGTACCTTTACTGGTTGTTATTATTGTAGGAGACTAGAATGTAGTACGAGTGGTTCATGCGTAAAGCTTTGGTGCAAGTGTGTGACGTTCCGTGTGTGCGTGCAAGCAAATGCTTGTGCTTGCAAGAATGGGCGCCAGTACCGCGTCCCTGTCCCTGATGCCTGACCCAAAGTCGTTTACCAGAACCGTTAGAGCAACTCCAACGCGCCGATTTAAACGGACAATAATTTTGTTTGCTTTTTGTTCATTTGGATCGGTCCGGCGGACGCCCACGTCCGCTTTTGCATTTGGGTCGACGCATGTGCCCAATGCTAGCCCGACCTATTTTGACGGCACGCAAAACACACACACAAATATTTCAAAAAACAAACAAACATTAAAGCCGGCTACGAAGGCCAAGAGAGTCCACACGTCCACATTACATTAATTAAATACTAAAAAAATAAACTACGAGGCGGCGTGCTGCCCTAGTGAAAATGCGTTAAGTCGACTAGAGGGAGAGTGAATATGCGATTTTTACAAATTCGTCACTAAGGAATTTCAGGGTGAGGAAATTCCTAAGTCACAAACAACTAGCAGCGAAATAAGTACTCAGGTATAAGCATCAAAGAGTAATAACTAGGGCCGTCTCCAGAAATTTGGGGGCCCGGGACCGAAATCAAAATAGGGCTCTAAATTCCAAAAAAAAAGAACCAATGTAAGTAAAGTAAACTTTCACTTAATTAAATAACTTCGAATATGTGTTATTTCATATAATATTTATAAAATATATCATATACGAACGCGAATGTATTGGAATCATACCTCCTTCTAGGATACATGATTGATTATTCTTCCTGTTTTATAAAACAAACACAACATGAATCAATTTACACTACGAATAGGACTTCATAGCTAATATAATCAATAAGACTTTATCTAGATGCAAGATTTTGAAAAAAAAAGTTTAACAAAAAGTAGCATGCATTAGCAAAATAAAGTCGAGCCTCCTATGAAAAACTTACGCTGACAAGGGCGGCAAGGGACGATGCAACATGCCGCCATATAAACTCTGCCGTGGGGCATGGCCGGCCGGCGGCCGCGTACGCACTTCTAACCCGACGTCTGCCGCCCTCGCCCTGCTCCAGAGTCGAGACCTCTCTCTCCTCGATCTAAGTTCTAACGGTGGATGGTTAACCTGAGCGAAACTGATGCGTGCGATTGGATCAGGAGTGCTAACAGGCAGGCTGTTGGGCTGTGTACGTGCATGTATTGCAAATCGAAGAAATCGGAAGTGCTAGAGTGGGCTGCCGGCCTGTGCACGTGCATGTATTGCTTGTTCACTGCCACTTTTTTTCTATATATAGATACGTATTATTTGCTGGACTGGGGCCCTGTGCGGTCGGCCAACTTGGCCTCCCTCATCAACGGGGCTGGTAATAACACAGTCATCATCATGAAATGAAAGACAAACATAGAGTACAGAAAGCGTAAACACAGAATAAGCAGGCTGAAGACAATGTGATTAAAGAAATTGGATTGAGAAAATTAAGAAAGTCTTCAGTCAAAGTCTTCAAACAGTAATGATCAGGTTTATCAACATATGAATGAGGAAATGAAAGGGTTGAGAAAATAGGACCAGTAGGCTTAGTGAAGACAATGATTTGGTAGACCAGTTCCAACTGTTATGACAGTTGTACGTCTGGTTGGAGCGGCTGAGTGTTTAAACTCGAGGACACACAGTTCCGGACACACAGTCCTCACCGTATTCTTCTTGAGCTAAGATCACACAGACCTCGCCCAACACTCGTGGTAAGTCTTCACAGGTGACTTCCAAACCTTCACAGACTTGGTCACTCGGCAATCCACAATTCCTCTTGGATGCTCAGACCATGACGCCTAACCGTTTGGAGGATACACAGTCCTCAAAGGTAACAAGCGTCGGTTTCACACAGGAACAATCTCTTTAGTGATGCTCAATCACTTTGGGTTTGTAGGTTTGGGTTTGGGATTTGGGTTTTCCTCACTTGATGATTTTCGCTCAAAGTACTCGGAGGATGGGATGCTCTCAATTGACAAGTGTCAGTTTCTCTCGAAGCAACCAACCAGTTAGTGGTTGAAAGGGGCGGCTATTTATAGCCTAGGGAGCAGCCCGACATGATAAGACATAAATGCCCTTCCAGGATATGACCGTTAGATGGTAGGATATTTTGGACAACTAGCGCGTAGCACAACAACGGTCGGATTTGAGGTTCGAATTCCTTAGGGCTATCATGTTCCTCACTATGTAGGCAATTTGCACTGGCGAATTTCTAACTCCCCAGTCAGAACAAATTCCTCAGAGACCAAAGGATCTTCGTCTCTATCACTAAAAAAATTGACTGAGATAATATGAGATTTCCAATGACTTCACTCGAAAGGACTAGGTAGGTGTAGGATTTGAGATGAGCATCACTTGGAAATCAATTTTCTTAGTATTACCTCGACCCCCTTTAACAGTACGGTGTTTCCTATGACTCAAGAAGGAGAAAATAAAACTACAAAAACAAAAGTCTTCACGCTTCATAATCCTCGCATGAATATCCAAGTCTTCAAGGTCACACCAATTTCTTCACTTTCAAAGTCTTCAGGAGAACCAAAGTCTTCAGCCGAAGACATTCTTTTTTAGGGATCGACTTTCACTGTAAATACCAAACTCCTCATCGACTTATAGAGCCTGTGTACACTCACAAACATATTAGTCCCTTAATCTATAAGTCTTCAATACACCAAAATCACTAAGGGGCACTAGATGCACTTACAATCTCCCCCTTTTTGGCGACTGATGACAATATAGGTTAAGTTTTCAACGGGGATAAACATATGAATTGAAAGTGCTCAATATTGAGGAATTTAATTGCAAGATATAGAAGAACTCCCCCTGAAGATGTGCATAGTGAAGAATTTGCTTTTGAAGCAATGCACACTTGAATAGTAGAATCAAGGAGATCTCCCCCTATATCTTATGATTCATACACGCATTTAACATATCGAATGAAGAATTTGAAATGCATGATGAAATGTGGTGACTGATGTAATTCAGCATGCGTGCATAGCATATATGAGGAAATAGCATGCAGAAAACAAAGCAAAAGTATCAAGTCACCACCGGACTTAAGTTACAACTCAATCAACAAACACTTCAGAAGAGCGAGAATTGTAACTTAACAAAAAAACGTCCATATAGATAGACCCGCTTGAAGACTAACTCAAATTTCTCCCCCTTTGTCATCAAATGACCAAAAGGGACAAAAATGAGGACTAACGCCCCTGAAGAATTTCATCACGAAGTTGATGGAGGAGCGCCAGCGTTGTTGGGGTCAGTTTTTGGAGTAGGGCCTGCCGCAGTGTTGTCCAAGTCTTCATTTTCATCTGTGTCGCGTGATGAAGAATATGAGCTGGGCACCAAAGGAGGAACTTCGACCTTCTTGAATTTCTTCGCCGGAGGCTTAGACTAGCTGACGTCCTGCTTGAAACCCATCTGCTTGAGATCCTCATCACCGTAGAGATGAGACAGAATAGCCCAGGTGCGATCAAAAACTTCATTGAGGTAGTAATGGTTCTTCTTCACTGAATTATACGTAGCAATCATGTTGTGAAGAATTGAACCAAACTGACGCTTGGCCCATTTATGATTGCGATCGACCTTTTGATGAAGACTGAGGAGAAGCTCACGATCAGTCATCACCCTTGGAGCCGTTGCCTGCTACGTCTTGAGCTTGCGTTGGTTTTCCTTGAAGAGGAAAGGGTGATGCAACACAGTAGCGTAAATATTTCCCTCAGTTTTTGAGAACCAAGGTATCAATCCGGTAGGAGGCTCCTCACAAGTCCCACGAACCTACACAAACAAACAAAGAACTCGCAACCAACGCGATAAAGGGGTTGTCAATCCCTTCACGGCCACTTGCGAAAGTGAGATCTGATAGAGATAATATGATAAGATAAATATATTTTTGGTATTGTATAATATAGATGCAAATAAAAGTAGATTGAAAGCTTATATGATAAAAGATAGACCCGGGGGCCATAGGTTTCACTAGAGGCTTCTCTCAAGATAGCATAAGTATTACGGTGGGTGAACAAATTACTGTCGAGCAATTGATAGAAAAGAGAATAATTATGAGATTACCTAGGCATGATCATGTATATAGGCATCACGTCCGTGACAAGTAGACCGGCTCCTGCCTGCATCTACTACTATTACTCCACACATCGACCGCTATCCAGCATGCATCTAGAGTATTAAGTTCATAAGAACAGAGTAACGCGTTAAGAAAGATGACATGATGTAGAGGGATAAACTCAAGCAATATGATATAAACCCCATATTTTTATCCTCGATGGCAACAATACAATATGTGCCTTGCAACCCTTTCTGTCACTGGGTAAGGACACCACAAGATTGAACTCAAAGCTAAGCACTTCTCCCATGGCAAGAAAGATCAATCTAGTAGGCCAAACCAAACCGATAATTCGAAGAGACTTGCAAAGATAACTCAATCATACATAAAAGAATTCAGAGAAGATTCAGATATTTCTCATAG